GCTGTAACAAATGTCCACACAAGTACTGACTATGCATCTGGTGTAACAAATATCCACAAAAGTACCGACTATCTGCTGTAACAAATGTCCACAAAAATCACAGAAGTACTGACTATCTGCTGTAACAAATGTCCACAAAAGTAGTGACTATGTATCTGCTGTAACAAATATACACAAAAGTACCGACTATCTGCTGTAACAAATATCCCTAAAAGCACTGGCTATGTATCTGCTGTAACAAATGTCCACCAAAGTACTGACTATGTATCTGCTGTAACAAATATCCACAAAAGTACTGACAATCTGCTGTAACAAATATCCACAAAAGTACCGACTATCTGCTGTAACAAATATCCACAAAAGTAGAGACTTTCTATGAGCTGTAACAAATATCCACAAAAGTACTGACTATGTATCTGCTGTAACAAATATCCCCAAACGTACTGACTGTATATGTGCTGTAACAAATGTCCACAGGAGTACAAACTATCTATGTGCTGTAACAAATATCCCCAAACGTACTGACTGTGTATCTGCTGTAACAAATATCCACAAAAGTACCGACTATCTGCTGTAACAAATATCCACAAAAGTACTGACTATCTATTTGCTATAACAAATATCCACAAAAGTACCGACTATCTGCTGTAACAAATAAACAAATATCCACAAAAATCACAACAGTACTGAATATCTGCTATAACAAATATCCACAAAAGTACTCACTATCTGCTGTAACAAATATCCACAAAAGTACTGACTATCTGCTGTAACAAATATCCACAAAAGTACTGACTATCTGCTGTAACAAATGTCCACAAAAGTACAGACTATCTATGTGCTGTAACAAATGTCCACACAAAAGTACTGACTATGTATCTGCTGTAACAAATATCCACAAAAGTACCGACTATCTGCTGTAACAAATGTCCACAAAAATCACAGAAGTACTGACTATCTGCTGTAACAAATGTCCACAAAAGTACTGACTATGTATCTGCTGTAACAAATATACACAAAAGTACTGACAATCTGCTGTAACAAATATCCACAAAAGTACTGACTATCTGCTGTAACAAATATCCACAAAAGTACTGACGTATATCCTGCTGTAACAAATGTACTGTAACAAATATCCACAAAAGTACTAACTATCTGCTGTAACAAATGTCCACAAAAGTACAGACTATCTGCTGTAACAAATATCCACAAAAGTACTGACTATCTGCCGTAACAAATATCCACAAAAGTACCGACTATCTCTCTGCACTAAAAAAAAACCAAAAAATTACTCACTATCTGCTGTAACAAATATACACAAAAGTACTGACAATCTGCTGTAACAAATATCCACAAAATTACTGACTATCTGCTGTAACAAATATCCACAAAAGTACTGACTATCTGCTGTAACAAATGTCCACAAAAATCACAGAAGTACTGAATATCTGCTGTAACAAATGTCCATAAAAGTACTGAATATCTGCTGTAACAAATGTCCACAAAAGTACTGACTATCTGCTGTAACAAATGTCCACAAAAGTACTGACTATCTGCTGTAACAAATGTCCTATCTGCTGTAACAAATGTCCACAAAAGTACCGACTATATCTGCTGTAACAAATGTCCACAAAAGTACTGACTATCTGCTGTAACAAATATCCACAAAAGTACCGACTATCTGCTGTAACAAATGTCCACAAAAATCACAGAAGTACTGACTATTTGCTGTAACAAATATCCACAAAAGTACTGACTATCTGCTGTAACAAATATCCACAAAAGTAGAGACTATGTATGTGCTGTAACAAATATCCACAAAAGTACTGACTATCTTCTGTAACAAATATCCACAAAAATCACAGAAGTACTGAATATCTGCTATAAGAAATATCCACAAAAGTACTTACTATCTGCTGTAACAAATATCCACAAAAGTACCGGCTATCTGCTGTAACAAAAGTCCACAAAAGTACTGACTACCTGCCGTAACAAATATCCACAAAAGTACCGGCTATCTGCTGTAACAAATATCCACAAAAGTAGAGACTTTCTATGTGCTGTAACAAATATCCACAAAAGTACTGACTATCTGCTGTAACAAATGTCCACAAAAGTACAGACTATCTATGTGCTGTAACAAATATCCCCAAACGTACTGACTGTATATGTACTGTAACAAATATCCACGAAAGTACTGACTATCTGCGGTAAGAAATGTCCACAAAAGTACTGACTATGTATCTGCGGTAAGAAATGTCCACAAAAGTACTGACTATGTATCTGCTGTAACAAATGTCCACAAAAGTACTGACTATCTGCCGTAACAAATATCCACAAAAGTACCGGCTATCTGCTGTAACAAATATCCACAAAAGTACCGACTATCTGCTGTAACAAATGTCCACAAAAGTAGTGACTATCTGCTGTAACAAATGTCCACAAAAGTACTGACTATGTATCTGCTGTAACAAATATTCCTAAACGTACTGACTATATGTACTGTAACAAATGTCCACAAAAGTAGAGACTATCTATGTGCTGTAACAAATGTCCACAAAAGTACTGACTATGTATCTGCTGTAACAAATATCCCTAAACGTACTGACTATATGTACTGTGACAAATATCCACAAAAGTACTGACTATCTGCTGTAACAAATGTCCACAAAAGTAGAGACTATGTATGTGCTGTAACAAATGTCCACAAAAGTACTGACTATGTATCTGCTGTAACAAATATCCCTAAACGTACTGACTATATGTACTGTAACAAATATCCACAAAAGTAGAGACTATCTATGTGCTGTAACAAATATCCACAAAAGTACTGACTATGTATCTGCTGTAACAAATATCCCTAAACGTACTGACTATATGTACTGTAACAAATATCCACAAAAGTAGAGACTTTCTATGTGCTGTAACAACTATCCACAAAAGTACTGACTATCTGCTGTAACAAATGTCCACAAAAGTACCGACTATCTGCTGTAACAAATGTCCACAAAAGTAGAGACTATGTATGTGCTGTAACAAATGTCCACACAAGTACTGACTATCTTCTGTAACAAATGTCCACAAAAGTACTGACTATGTATCTGCTGCAACAAATGTCCATAAAAGTACTATCTACATGCTTTACAAAAATGTCCTCAAAATTATTCGAATTCAAATATTGAGAAAACAACTAGAATAATAAGGTTACTTGAAATTTAGCAATTTCTTGTCTTTTGTCATGCGCCGTCCGACCGGAAACGATTTTCTCTATTCTAATACATTGTTTAGCAAAGCGTGTGTGATTACTATTGTCAGATAATTCAAATTTGGTTAGAATTATGATTACATAACATTTCGATGGTGCGTATATGTTTCACTGTGACTGATCCACGTGAACTGATGAGTGTGATTAATAGGTTCAAACTGATTCAATATTAAAATCTCTTCTCCTTATCTTCAATAACGGAAGAATCTTAAGATGCTCTACCAAAATTGTGAATTTCGTTACCCTAGTGTCTCGTATGTTTTCCTCGTGAAAGTAAAATTCACTATAATTCATAAACTGAAAAAATACACATCAGAACATAATTGCTTCAAATTTCAGATATATTTGTGACGTCTTGTCTTTCAATGACAAGAAATTTATTGTCCATTTTCATTGTCTATACCCATAAGAATTGGAAATTGAAGACAGGACATACTCTCTTCTACATTAGTCGCTTATCTCGATCTTTTCCTACAACGAAACAAACATAGACAGCTTTCCATCAAGCTGTATGATAAGTGTGATTATTTTATTTTCCCTGTTGTAAATTTTCCATTCCTTGATAGCAACATTCCTGCATCCAATAGTGGTTACATGCCGTAATTGATTTGATATTCAAGGACTTGTTCCTATTATCACGATTTTCGTGCAAGAAATCGTCAACTGACTAACAAACTCGTAACACAGGTTTTCCGAAGACGCGGGTTGCTGAAAAGTATAGGGAAGTTTTTTCGGTCGTCACAGACATCCCCATTAATAAATATTCTGTCTCTTTGTGCTACATGAAGCTGGATGTGTATGAAGCTTGTCAGTTTGTCTGATAGTTCCGTTGTTGTATACTTTGTTCCCATTTGAGAACGTGACATTACATAATTTCGGAACACTTAGTCCTATTCTCTTTGTACTTTCTCAGGAGTCTCTAGGTAAATCTTTCTCCTGTTTATGCTTTGCCCTAGTTTTATCTAACTTGAGTTTGGATTATTGTTATGTTGACATGTTGGTATTTTCTTGTTATCTTATCTTTTTACAATGGTTTATGAAGGAATCAAATGTTTTAACATCATTTGTTTAATTTCCAGCGTAAACAATCCAAGTGTGGTTAGAATAATTAAAACGGGATGGCAATTTAATATTATATACATTTGACCTTTACATCACATGTGTGTACAATGCCGATCAAGTTGTATCAAGATGACTTCTATGACGAATTACAACGACAATAACGACAGCTTCATAGAAATCGGGTGACCGAAATTTACATATGGAAATCTAACGTGATCTTAGCATAAAGATATATGTTATAGATATAAATAACCTGTTAACTAAGGAATTTAATATCAGCTAGCCCGTGTTCAGAACGATGGAAAGCCACTTACAATCACTCTGTATTTAACAACAATGGTATTCACTTATTTTAACAACATGTTCAGACATGGACCTATAAACATATCGGACACTTGACAATAAAATCAATCAAATACATCGATCCACGAGGAAGGAAGGAAGTTCCTCGTTCTTGATCTGAATGCTAATACATGCCCAACAATCCAGGCGTTCATTGTATTTTTATTATGAAATATTCTCTGTCTATTTTACTGTAACACGTGTTCAATATGTTTTCAGTGGGCACAGATTAAAGCTCATTCAGACTAAGTATAATCGCGTACGGGTTTACTATCCAAGTGAGAAATGACGATGTCACGTGACGCAGTGTCTGCCCCTTGTATTTGCATAAGCTAGGAGACGACAGGTCGGAGCTATCCGACTCGGCCCGACACAAGGTAAATATTACGTTTTCTGCACACCAAACGAGCTCGCAACATTTATACAAATGCACTTATACATTATCGAATAACCTGACCATCATGTATTTACAGATCGTTTCTCTCTTTTCGAAAGTACAGAACGTTTAACAATATGGTTGACCTCGAAACACACTAAAGATTTCGTGCATGGCGAACACTTGTACGCTATATATTAGCAGATATATTTTTATGGTGGCAGTATTGAATACTTTCAGTAGTATTTCAGTGTGAATGCAGTTTTAGTAACTAGTAACAGTATATTAAGACCTAAATAAGTACCCATTAGCCGTGTTGCATGTCTGAATTTCCAAATTATCGTGGAAAATCCAAACACGAAACGCCGCCCAGATATGTTAGATTCGCATATTTTATGTTGTTGAGCTAAAAATAGCCACGTCGAACCACAAACAATGCCATGCTTTCTTAATATCTTACACTTGATATCGTGATGTTTCTGAATTCAGCACCATACTTTATAAAAACAGAAATGTTTTGATAAAGACACCAATATAATGTATACTTTCCCGCGTTTTCCGGAATCGCATACATACAACGTTTGGAATACACAAATGTGTACGTGAGACCCGACATGCTCGCCAAGTGTATCGGGCATTGGGGGGTCAGCGGAAAAGTCTAGTATCCTGTAATTTATTCTAAATTTATTACTATAAATTTATTCAATATTATCTCCTACTAGAAGATAACTGTTGTGATAAACATTGTTGAACATTATTTAAGAAATGGAATATATAATAATGTTTAATATTGGACATAGTATTAGCGGTAAAAGTAATTTCATATTGATTTTACTGCACAGATGAAAACTGGCCAATACACTTGCCATTAAATTATTTAACATCATACTCTTAGAATGTATTCAAAAATTTCTGTTCGTCAAATGTTTTTCGTTAATTTAGTTATGATATTTAAACATTTGAAAATTCTAATATTTGAAAATTTTTAACTGTGGGAGAAGAAAATTCCTTTACCAGTATTTGTGAAGTTATTTTTTTTTTAAATATAACTTAATATTTATATGAAAGGATGTGATGTTTATAGTAAGGTATTTAAATCCGGTTAAAATGAAATGATTAAAACTTACAAGCTAGTATGCTAATGAGTCATTCTTTCGAATTGTCATTTTTTTTATATATATACGAAAAGTAACATGCTATTGTATGATTATTTAAAACTAACTCAATTCTGTTTATTTTGATGTAAAGAATAGTTATTTGAAAGTCTTCTCATATTTATTGATTAAAACCATGCATTTTATGTAGTTCCAAGAGGTTTTTGACCATAAATGTTCGATCGCGAACAACAAGGGGAAAACCCAGTTTATCTATAAATAGACCTGTTTCAACACATGCAAGTCATCAACTTTGGGCTGTTCTGTCACTGTGGCTAGTGACCTTGAACTTGTTGACAGTCTAGTAATATACCAATGCAATTATATGACAAACCTGTATTTAATTGGTAGTGACTGTGTAAAAGTTTTGAATTCTTGTCAAATATTATGTGATGCATGAACTGATACACAGAAAATGATGACAAAGCACTACGTTTAAAACAGATCTCAAAGTCTTTTTTTTGTTTCTAGTGTAAGATTCAAGTATAGATTTTCAGTTTTAGATCAAGGACAAAAATTAATTGATTTGTTTCCTTATTTTCTGGTGTACTTCCTTGTTATCATGGTTATATGATTGTGTCAAATGTTGTTCAATTACATAGGTATTCTAGACCTCAGTACAATCAAATGTAGTCTTAACCTGAAAATATTTCCAAGATTACAAGTACATGCTCAAGTTACCTCAGTGTAAGGTATCCATATCTGTGGATACATACTATGTGTAAAACTTACCTGTGAAATAAAGCAAGTTATGTCAGTTTCAAGATAATTTTAACTGACAGAAGATCTACCCCAAGCTACGTAGTCTAATGTGCTCAATGACATCATCTAATGTTAAAAACAGCCGATTAATGAGACGTATTGATTTGTATAAAAATCTTTCATGATGTCACAGGCAGATTCTACTTGAAACCCTTCAGGGATTGCTGTACAGAAGGAAGAATCATAAGATGATATCTGTGGTGTAATTATATCAGTGTTTTGATACTGCTGTAAAGAGATGTTTGGAGAATTCAACAGAAGGGTATTAATTAGCAATTTGGAAAATAAAGGAACGTTACATATACCTCAATGGTTGATTTGATTTCAAGCATTTGGTCAGTTGTTTGTGCATCCTATTTTTGACAGTATAATGATATTGAAACCATAGAAAACCAGTCTCAAGAGGCCTTGTATAATCACTTGAAGTTTGTCACTTATGTAGTTAACTGGTAATTAATCAATTCAACATGACTTAAATGTCATGATGCCATTATCAGAATTAACACTGCATATTTGCATTTGACTATTACTTCACGTAAATGATAAATTACGGATCATAATCGGTTTTATAAGTTAATAATAGAAGATATCAAAAAGTTTCTTTAGAAAACACTATAGTAATGAATGTTGGAAAAAAACTCATTTAAAGTACATTTGTCCCTTTTTATATGTGATGTACATATATAAAATGTAAGTTCTGCTGCTCTTCTAGTCAGTTAATAGCTATAAAGAATTCTTTTTAAGTAACAGCCGTGTTAATTACAATGTATGGCTATATCAAACTTTGCTAAATCAGGTGTCTAAACTTAATTGATTTATTTACTGTTTTGGCATCTACATTGTTTTGTGTTTTATTTAGTTATTTGATCGATTTCAATGATTATGAGACATTGGTTCATGATTAAAGTAATTATGCTGATGGTAAAGTTACTTTCATTTTATTGGATTTTGACATTCAGGGAAAAACACACACAATGACTTTTTTTGTTAATTTGAATAAATTTTAAGACAAATTATTTTAATCATAAAGAAATTTGATACATTTTCAGTGTAGTGTATTAGGCTTCAATGAAAAGTTTATATTGGATTGTCTTTCGATATAATTGGCAAAATAACTGATTAAAAAAGACTTACAATTTACTATTTTCAGAAGCGTTTGTAGAGCAAACTTAAATTACAACAGTATATGATGTAATAGTTTGTGTAATAGAATGTGTTGATTTCCCGATAGTGCTGTTGGTACAAAAAATTCACAAGCTGTAATGCGAACTTAAATAAAAACAGACTAGCAGAAAACTATGAAACATGGCAAATTTTGGCTTAATCAGTACCACAAAAGTTATACACAAACATATATATATTGTTAGACAGGAATTACATGGCCACACACAACAATCTGACATTTTATTTCTTTAGTGTGCTTCAAAAATGAATTATGTCTGAAAAAAATTTATATAAGTATTTACTTGACAAATTATCATCGCTATGTTGTTAGATTAAGTTCTGTGTAGATGCAGTGCTTCAGGATCGTATTGAACCAAAGTGTAATAATTTGAATGAAAATGACGGAGATTTCTCTAAAAGTAGGGAAGGTTGACAGGTACGCAATTAAACCATTAAGTGTCTGGACTTTTGTATTTGCTGAAGATATAGGCAAATCTGATTGGAATTCAATGAAGGTAATCTACTCACAGGAACTAGTAATTTGTGAGTTATTGATAGTATGTAAGAAGCTTATCATGTAATGTGATCATAACGAGGGCGATTATATGATTACCATAGAAACATGTAATTAAAGTTTGAACATAATGCTGTATATGTGCTCATGCAATAGAGTTATATTATTAGTCGAAAATTACCTGCTACAATTGAGATTAGTCTTTTGGATGACCTGGGAACTGAACTTCAAGTATCATAAATATGCTGGAATTTACCTCTGAACGGGGATTCCCCTCTTTGCGAATGCTTATCTTAAAATAGCATGCTTGTCGATACAACTGTAAAGCTAGGAAATGTAAATAAGGATCTATTAAATAAATGAAATACATAATGCTTTGTTGAAATATTATGTAATGTAATAATGTTATCAATGACTACTTTTTTAAAACGTTCGCATTTGTTAGCGACAGTAAATATTGTGTTCAGATCTTGTGAATCGTAAGCGTTAATTTGCCTTTTGATTTTTTCCCTGTTATTCTGGCGTAATGTGTACATACATGCTATAACAAGTAAGAGGTTTATTATACGAAGAGTTTATGCATATATTCATGAAAGATTACTCAATATAATGGCTCGTGTTTTAATGATTGGAAGCAACTTGAGGGTCGTGCACCAGCACTATACATTGAATGTACGTGCATGAATATGCTGTAATGGTGCAAGCACTTTATATATGGCCGTTTCTGTTTGACCAAAATGCAACTGGAAATGTAGGTCAGGGGAATTTCCCATGTACATGTACAAGGCTAAAAATAAACTAAATATATCTGCCCTATGTTTTCTATTCAAAACGAAAAAGCGTGTCCCATAGGTCTATTCATCTTAATGGAAGTAATATTTGAATCCTTATTAAATTGCTTCAAAAGTTTCTCCGCATTTCATTCCTAAATTAGTTTTTTGTATTTTAATTAAAGTTTTTTTCAGATTACATAGGAAAATCTTAATTTTGTAGCAAATGATATTGCTTGTAAATATTTTATCTGTAGTCTTCAGGTTTAGTAGTGAAGAAAGCATTCGTTGATGATGACGAAATATAGGATCTGATTTATGATTGGATGATTTTATTACTTGGTCAACAACAAAATCACGACACCTGATTCAGAGTCAATTTGTGGCAATTTTTTTGTCTCTTTCCTGACAGATGGATATTTTCCTACAACAAAATCTGCCCAGTTGGGTTGGTTTACGTGACTTGCCTCTCGTATCCATGTTTTTTTATTGATTTTCTTCTTTGCCTGGTGAGTGGGACATATGATAAATTTCCTTTTTGTTCTATTAACTTGGTCTTCTATCCGTTTTTGATCACACACATGGCCGTTAGACACGGAGATGGGGGATTGCAATGTACATGGTCTTTGTATCCAGAAGTCCATGAATCGCTCCAGTTCAAACCATTTCAACTGAATTAGGAGCATTTATATTGGTAATCAATTCTTTAGGCTTCTGTAGTGCAAACCATCTGCAAGAGTTGAAACTTGATGATCACTGTAGCTTTCAAAACACCTTGTAAAATAGTGGGAAATTCTGAATGATGTTGCCATAATGAAGTAGATTTTATATAAGCTGTACAAGTAAAAACCGAAAAAAATCAAGTTGGAAAATTATAGCATTAAGCTAACCAGGTTTGTGCAAACAAGCTACCATTTATTGATTTAGGCCAAGGTATGAGTAGGTTATCTGGAGCAAACAAAGACTTTTATTGTGTCGAACTCAGAAGACATCTGGGGATATGGGCATGGGAACAATGAACCTCAAACTCTACAAAGACTTGAAATACAAAACTCATTTCTAATGGTAATTTGGGGTATTAAGTTTATGAAACAAAAATCATCTATTGCATCTTTAAAAATAATTGCTTAAAGTAGATTATAATGCTGTGTTTTTCAGCTGTTATACAGTAGTCAAAGATTCTTGAAATTTTGATGGTTTTATGTATTGAATGTTTTAATTAATTTGTGCAGAATATTGTGGCTTTTATTTAAAATATTGATATTGATTTTAAATGTTGTAGGTTGCAGAAAGTGATGTGTGATGGATGATGGCAGAGTGCGGGCAGATGGAGGGTGGGCCATGGGACAGGAGCAATTTGCCTTCCCAGGAGCTGGTGCCTACAACCCTGTAGGCCCGGCTTTGACTCCACCCAACAAGGGGGTGTCTGTCAGCGGCTACAGTTCCTTAGGGAGTGCTCAAGGTCCACCAAATAAGGATGTGTCTGCTATACCAGGGATGGCTTCCTTTAAGTCAAGCCTCCCTGGAGGAAAAGAAGGATATCCTACATATGACATGGGAAAGGGATTCTATGGGGGTCATAATCCCAGGACTGGCCCTGATGTCCAAGGTTTCAGTGGACCTAGCACCAGTCCTGGACATTCTGCTGTCCCAAAGCCACGGACGGAAATGATGCCTCAGGGATGGAAACAGTTTGGTCCAGGGGGAGTTGGTCCAGGTCAGATGCCAGCAATGTTTGGCCAGTCAGAAAGTCAAAACACAGAGGTAAGAAATATCAGTTTGTTATTAATATAGGCATATAAACTTTTCAACAATAACCACATTGGTATGACTAGGATTAACCATCTCAGATTTCTATAGAATGCCAGTATTGCGTTAGATAGCAATATGGCAGAATGATAGATATTGAAACCAATATTGCATGCAGTTATTAAGCAATCGGAGTTGCTTCCCCTGTGTCAAAATCGGAAAAAACAAAAGAGTCATGGAGGCCATATATAAATTAACATTTTGAAGTGTTGAAGGGTAACAATAAAATGTTAACTTGAAGCTGATTGGACAGACAATAAGGAAACTGGATACAAGAAAGAAAACAAATATTGTCTGGGAGAGTACATTGATAGAAATCCAATCAATTATCATAATTATAGTTTGCCACTGGTTTGTTAAAGTGTAAAAGTCCATTGAATACAAAATGTTGATAAAGTTAGCAATCTTATAGAAATGGAAATGATCACTCTCATGCAAAATATGTGCAACATGAGATACTGTTTCTAGAGTAGAACATATTTCTACATAAATCATACTAATGTTATGAGTACATATGCACACAAATCATAGGCCAAGGAACAGAAACACTTGATTGCTAAGCACATTTTGGTGGCAACAATTGGTATTGAAATCAAGGTGGGATGTGGTAATTTTCAAAATAAGTCCTACTCTATATGTGTATGTTTTAAATTTGTCCCAGAAATGTATATACACCTCTGTTCTGTAGTGTACATGCTTGTAGTATTTTGTACTACAAAGCCCTGGGTTCTAACATACCAAGCATGACTAATCAGGTGATTAAATAAACTGACCACTGGGTCATCTGTGTGGTCAACAGTTTGGCGGGAGATGGCCATTGTGTGAGGGACAGCTGAGTAACATACTTTTAACAGTTCAGTAGAGTACAATGATTTAAAGATAGGAAAAATATGGTCTTCTCCTAGTTAGCTGACTAGGCCAGTTATATGGTGACCTTGGCTAGAAATGAAGGGTCAGTAATGGTGAGAGTATTCAGATTGAGTGACCAGTATCACAAGTCAGTCAGGTGCACCAGGTCCCAGTAGGAACCTCCCCCATGCTGTGTACATGTTTGTTGTGCAAACCTTCCTACACCTGTTGGTTATTTCTTACTTAAGATATCAAGTACACATAACTGTACTCCTGTGTTACAATTCAGACTAAATCTTCGTGCAATCTGGCCTTACATTATTATAGTGGATGTACACTCTTGCATTATCTTAATGTAAGCACAATTGCCACATTCCTGTTATCAGTAGGAAATGCACTTTCTCATCATTTTTGTAAAGACTACACTAAATAGCATTTTTGTAAAAATGAATAAGGGGTTGAACCATCAGAGATGACATTGTACAAAATCATGATGAAGTATTAAAAATGTGCTCAATCTACCAATCTCCTTAGACAATGGCCTGTTTGAAATATTGAAAAAATGTGTCAGTTACTATATGATAATCTTTCTTTGAAACATGTTAATTGACTGTTGAGAAATTGAAGGTTTCATTTTGTTCATCGTGTTGGATATTGTGACAAAAAACCATGTAAGCGAAAAAAAAAGAGTGTTTAATTTGTGCTGGCAGAAGTTAGTATTGCCAATTATTATTAGTAAGTGGAGTGTGGATGGAGACTTATCTCGACAGGTTAATGTTAATTAACATCGTCACTACCTTTATTTGACAGACCTGTGTTAAAATAGGGATAGTCTTGGCATGATTATCTTACAAAATATGTAGTGAAATACTAAAGCTTTTTATACAGATTGCTTGTAATACAGAGTTGGGGCCTCGTACAATGTGACAGGATATCAATATGAAATCACAATGAATCAATGGTAGATAAGTGACGTATGATGTTCATTTAAAACCCACTACCTGTTTATTGTTGATGTCACAAATATCCCTAATAACTCTTAGCGACACTTGTGTTTGAACAGTCCATAGGAAACAAAATTAGAAATGTCGAAACAAGAATAGAAAGGGTTGAAACTATCACTAGATAGAAAATGATTGTGTTTGAACTTCCTGTCTATTCAGACTCACTTGAGGTTTGATGTACATTTTCATATTATGAAAATTCCATTCATATTGGAAATAAATACAATGTGACAACTGCAAAATTGTTAGATCATTTAAGAATGAATATCTACGTAAATCATCACAGTTTCTTTCCCATGTATATTATTAACTGGAAGATCTTTCTGAAAACCATAATCATGTAAATGATTTACGTAAAGCTATAATGTGTGTTGTCATGAAGTGAGTTGTAAAGCATTGAAGTGACAAAGGTCAACATGGTGTTTAAATGATGTCTGTCATAATATCTTGTGCTGTACAGTGTATCTTAACTCCCGTGAATAAAAAATTACACTTAAATTAATATGAGGCCATTAATTGGTCAGATGGTGCATGCACTGTGGTAACACATACACTCGCCTTCACCTAAATGTTCCATTACCTACATGGAGGTGAAAAGTAAAGTGCTTATACTCTAGATAAAGTTCTGACTAGAACTTGTACTTAGAAGGTGAATATTTGATTGATGGTGCTTACCACCCTTGCCTTGGTTGATGTAAGAGTATAGCCAGTACATAGTGATTGACTCTGAAGGGATCTGTTTCCAGACACATCAATGGTCACAGTCCCACACCTGTGCATACTATATTTATAGCACAGGCATGGTGTGTGGGTCAGATAGCATTTATAGTTTACCATTCAGTACTTTAGATCTATAAACTGTTTGCTAGGGGAATATATATGCATTTGATATAATTCTACTTTATTTACTATATTTGAAATAAGTGATTAAATATTGTACATTCAATTTTGCTTTGACTTTGCTTTGCTGTACTTTAGCCTCGTGTTTTAGCATGGAAACTAAAACACACCTGTAGAACTCAAACACCCCCTGCACTTGGATGTTTCCATAAAGCCAATCAGATGGTTGGCAGAGCTTGTTCATGAACACTCTCACAAATGTTTGGGTGTGCATAAGACACAGGAGTTGGGCAGTGCTTTTAAGTTAACACTGACAATCTACATATGTCACAAGGGGTTGTTAGAGCTTGTTATTAAGTGCTTTCAATCTACATATATCACAAAAGGTAGTGGGGGGGGGGGGGGACTTGTTAATAATGTCTTTGATCTGCATATGTCACAAGGGATTGGCAGAGCTTGTTACTAAACACTGACAATCTATATATGTCACAACCGGTGGATAGAGTTTGTTACTCAGTGCTTTCAGTCTGCATTTGTCACAAGGAGTAGATGGAGATTGTTACTAAGTCCTACAATTGAAATATGTCACAAACATTATAGTCCCTGCCTAAGTATGCCAAATTGTATTATACTATTGGATCATATATTTTTGTGGGAGGGGTTAAAAGATTTCCAAAACTACACCATTTTCTTGTTTTTGCGGTTAAATCTTTAAACTCTGATAGTGCTATGATCAACGTCAACTTTTACCTGGTTAATATATCGTTATCGGGGACATTTGAATTGGTATATTTACATTACCCATGAGTTTGACAAAAATAAACCCCCCATGAAAATGAATGCATTTACAGGATGCAGTTTTCAGTGATTCAGCCTGGATATTTTAGCTCAAAACAGGCAGGATGAATGTATTTGGGTGATGATAGGGGATACAGAATCTGGCAAGGCTGAGAAAAATGAACATGCATTTTATCACGAGGAACAGGAAATCAACAGGTAAAAATGTTGACACAATAAAGGCAGGGAGTTTCCTAATTCTTTATCCTGTTGTAACTAAGCAATTGACCATCTAAGAAATGGGGTTACATCCTTATCTTCATATGTAGTTATCACTGGTGATAGTACTGTTGCTAAGTAAGAGGACAGATGGGTTTACACAGCCAGATAATGAGTAGATCATGCTTGCATGCCCTTAGGGGATGATAAACCTTTTTTTTCATTTGAGGTTGAATATCAGTTTTTCTCATGGATAACGTAGGCAATTTAGCTTCTTCTCAAATTTATGTTACTTAACTTGGAAAAAAAAGCAGAAACAAAAACAAAAAATTGAAGAAAGAATTAAAAAAAAAAACCCAATCCAAAGTTATTTAAAAGTGCATAAGTCGAAAGATTTAAGATAGTGAAAAAAATCACGACCAGCTGGCTAATAAAAGTGTATATTTAAGAAGTTTTGTGAATTAATAAAATGTTACAAGTTACATCAAAGCAACAAGCTTCCCATCGAACATTTGGAAAATAGTTTGATTACTAGGATGTTTGAAAGAGTAGGTAGTTTGTATAGGTGATCCAGGATGTATAACACCCTGCTTATGAAGCACGCACATCCACATGTTTGTAATTATATACAAGGTATGTTGTGATATGTTATATCTGGTACAATATGAAGTGTTGTTATCACAGTGGAAAGTGTTCCTTATCCTGATACATAATGTTCTGGAGCCCCTATGCGGGATATATGTTGTTATTTAGAATTCACATAAAGCGTACATATTTATCTATCTCTGATGATCCGTATCATTGATCAAAGATATGTATATCTGTACAAGTCAGCTGTTTTAAGGGTTTTAAATTGTGTCGATAAATTAGAATATCTTATAGAATAGATTTGGATTGACTGGGGGTTTTTTTTGGGAGAAACAGTTGCAAATTTCAAATAGCTGACTTAAAAATATGACTTAGTGAGGGAAACAGATCAAGCTTAGTTGACTCACTGAGGGAAATATAGGGATTCTAACTCAATGTATGAAATTTCAAGAGCTTGCATATTTATAGAGAAAGAGACTCCAAAATAATGAAGGAAAGTTCAAGGAGCTCAAGGAAGGAAATAGAGACCCTATGTCACTGAGGAGCTTTGTTCATTGTTTATGATACCAACCTAGTGTTGACATTCTTCACACAAAGCTTGTGTTGGATAAGATGGATAACATGACTACTGTTCTACCTTGAGCCAATATATGTTAATTCATATTGTTACCAAATATA